ATGGTTTTGACACACAACACAAAACTATCCACAACACTACACACTAACAGTTAGTGTGTAGTTAATGTGTTTTCTTGTGTTCTAACTACACAAGAAAACACATTAATTACACACTCCAAACACGCTAAACGTCACAAATCTCTCACATCTCAAAACTCGCTCTCTCTCTTTTTCTGCTGTCTCTCTCTCTCCTAAAACTTCCCGGGTTTTTTTTGTTTTGTTTTTTGCTCATAAGCAAAGAGTGCTCGCTGCGCTGTCCTTAGACAGTAAACGTGACGAAACTATTGAGGAAAAAACGCCGCATATATATTGTTTATCATGACTCTGGTTTTACGTGGCCTATTAACACAATTTAAAAACTGGTATATTTCACCTTGTTGCTTTGTCTTTAAGTGGTCGTGTGATTGGCTTACCACGACTACTTTATTCTTCCTCAGTCAAACAGCAGCACTCGATTGTTTTGCCCCCTTAGCTCCAGGTGTTGTGCTAGAAAGTGATCGTGATTACCGTCCGCGGGAGCGCGCGCAGCTGCTTAAAGCTGTAGCGTCCAGAGTACTTACAGCTACTCCCGTGCAACTGATATAAGATGCGGTAAGCTGAACACAGCTTCAACCGTCTGTTTGTTGAAAAATAGTAACGGACCGCATTTTCTTGTTAGTAACTGTAACGGCATTGTAACTATAGGAATAGTAATTAGTTATATTACTCGTTACTGAAAAAAGTAAATAAAAAAGTAATTCCCATCACTGGTAGCTAGCCACCACATTGCACATCATTGCATACCAGCTAGCCCAACTTCAGTAACCCTACAAACATCACTGCTGTTTAGTTTTCTGTCTTCATTTATGTCAGAAGTGATAGCAGAGCTGTACGTTTTAATTTTTCAGAAATTCCTTTATCAGAACAGGGTATATTATTTAATCTTAAAATAATGGGGGCATACAACTAGAGCACAGATGTCAAACTCCAGGCCTCGAGGGCCGGTGTCCTGCAGGTTTTAAATGTAACCTTGATACAAGACAGCTGATTTAAAGGCTAAATTACCTCCTTAACATGTCTTGAAGTTCTCCAGAGGCCTGGGAATGAACTAATCATTTGATTCATGTGTGTTGACCCAGGGTGAGAGCTAAAACCTGCAGGACACCGGCCCTCGAGGCCTGGAGTTCGACACCCCTGAACTAGAGGAAGCCCAAGTACCACCAGTGGTAAGCGTACCACACTTTAAGAACCATTGAGATAGCAGAAATTAAATGCATTTAGGTATGTACACAAGAAAAGGAAACTGCTGATCTGCTGGGATTTTCCCACACAGGCTCATCGAAAACTGTAACTCTCATTTAGATACTAAAAGTGATTTTGTGATAGCCTTTATTAGAGAAAATGATTAGTGCAGCTTGAAGTTAACGTATTTTTTTGTGATATCTTTATTGTTATTGTTGATAGGCGGTGACAGTTCTTAAATTATAATAAATGACTGGTCATTCAAATGAAGTGTGCAACTGCTGACGGAAATGAGGATACTGTGTTTAAAATTCCAGTTTTCGTCACATAAAAAGAAACTGTCATCATTGTAATATTTGATTTTCTAAACAACATTATGCTCAACTGCTTCATTAGCTCTGATGACCTCGCACATCTCTAGTTCCTGAGCTCCACTGCCACATCATAGGAATGGAAATGATGGTGCTCAGGTTCTGGTGAACTGCATTTAAATTCCTTTCCAGGACCTTAGCTTGTTTTCAACTTATTTATCACCGTGACAGTAATCTCTCCTCTTATCAGAACACCGGAGAAACAGTGCTGAGAGAATACAAATGCGATGTGGCAGGACTCCTGGCAGTGTTGTAGGTTGCACCGGCACTAAAGAGAGTGAGTGACAGGTAAAGGCACACATTCAACATTTTGACGTTAAAAATGTCAGTGCAAGCTGTAGCACTAAAAGCAAAACCCACCAAACTGTATTTAAATAAACACTGAAAGTTTGAATCAGCTAGCTTTATTATGGCACTTTGTACATGTCAGGATACAAACTCAACATTCTAGGTTTCTTGGTTCATATAGCACATAAAACAATCAAAAACATTATTTCATTGCATAAAAAAAGACAGAAGGGTTCTGGAAGCTGCTTAGTTTTTTACCACACATACAGACACTTACATTCAATCAAATCCCAGTCTAGTAGTGACAGTTTATCTGAAATTTTCTCCAACCAGTCATTTCTTTTTGTAATCACATTGGTTTTCTGATTTTCTGTCATTTAAGGACAGGTTGATATTTTTCAGGCCTGTCTTAGAATGATACAAATAGCTTTTGGGTGTTATTCCCCTTCTGTACACTGGTTCTCCTTCTAAGTGAAAATTGTTTCGCGTAAAGAGTCAATGAGAAAGAGCCTGAATGTTTTCTAATGGTAAGGAGGGGGCACAATAGAGTTCAAATAAAACTGCCCCGTAACTGCTTGTAACAGTTTTCATATTACTTAATACTCTCAGTCATTAGTTTCAGATTTTCATTAACACATCTTTATGTTCATTTTTGTAGATTAGGGTCACATTTGAATTAAAAAAGACGAAGCATGATGTAATTTAAGCTTTAGTGTTCTCAGTCATATCCATCCCTTTGCTTGTCAGTGGCTACGTCTATCTTTTATGTACAGTCTGTGGTTCTTGATCCTCTTAGTTAGCTTACTGAAGTATTTCTTTTACAAAGTTGCCTTGTGTTTTACCAGAAATCATCATAAGCTCAGGTAATTTTATAAGAGAATTTACTTTGGAAGACTTAGTAATTGATTTTTGCTTTTGCCTATTAAAAACTGGGCTAGATGTTTTCACAACCAGTGGAGGGGAATGTTAAAATACAGCTGAGAAATTATGAGTGCTGGTAATTAAAATAATAACTTGACCCTTTTCTTTCATTGACGTTCTGATTAAATCCATTTGAGACTTTATATAGGTGTTTATATTGGAAGAGCTCAAAGTATAATATATAAAATATTGATATGTGAAATGTCAAATTCAGATTTGTATGACTTGAAGCAGATGAAGTAGAAAATGACATCATAGTAAAGAAGGTGAAATGATGGCTAGCCTGCTTATTTTCTGACTCGATAAAAAAACTGGTTCATTTCTAATTCAGATTTTCCGGACACAGTGTCTTTCAGCGCAACATTACAACAGTAATGAAAAAACAAATGAGTACTCATCACTTCTGCAGTCAAAAATACAGATATCTGCAAGAAAACTCTACAAAATCCATTTCTGCATGTAAAGGAGCATCACAGATTGGTGCATGTAAACACACTCTGACATCCATCCACACAGACTTTGCGCACAACATCATTTTACACACAAACTCATGTGGGTTCCCAGGGATCCAAGGTAAACAGGTTGCATTGAAGTGCTACGAGATCTTTCGTTGGCACGAGAGGAGTAACTTTTACAGTATTTACAACTGCGGTTAAATGATCAGGTTTTTTTTTCATGCATTTCTTAAAAACAAACTCTTGTAGAAAATACTTTTTTCACATTCCGTTTGATTATTTCGTTTTGTTTTTGTTTGCGTGAAAAGAATGCATTAGTGTCAAATGATAGTCATTTAACTTTGCGTGTATTTATTTTGTTCTGGTCACTGTGTGATTATACTTTACATGATGCATGAGCAGTAGGAATAAACAGGAAGCATTCTGCAATTGGCATTGAGTTGAATAAAGCTTTGAAATTAAGAAACATGCTACCAAAAGGTACTCCAACAGGAGTCACAATAAACTGACTGACTGAGCAATCCTCTGAGTGGGAGACCAAACCTGACACACTCAGCTAGAAGTGCAATAGTTTGAGGAGTAAAACATTTGGGCTATGCTTTTTTTAACGAGTCCCATATTTTCAACAAAGTAACTAGTTTGCTATAAATTACCAGAACAGCTGCTGTTAATGAGAAACTCCACATTTTCTTCAAGATGAAAAAGTCTATTAGCTGATATCAGTATTCATCACTTTTATTAAACCTGCAGTTTAATTATGAAGTGCCAGGCATCAAAGAGTCATTTGTGAAAGATAAACATTCTTTCATTTCTGCCATCTGTTATTAACTTGGATGTCTCTTTGTAATTGTCACCTGTGCTGGGAATTATTTTTTTGTATTTCAGCCTCACAGTAAACTACAAGATAAATCATACTCTATCATTTAACCCTGGAGAACCCATGGGGTCAAATTTGACCCCATGGTTTCCCTAGTAAACCAGTGGGGTCGGATCTGACCCCATTGGTTCTCCATAGTTAAACATAACTGCTAAAATGCAATCATTTCAAACCAACTTAAACCATTCTTGACACACAGCACAGCCACGTCCCATCTAATCAAACGTGTTTTCAGTCTTTCTAAGAAATCATCATTATCATTACTATTTTTTAAGACAGCCAGATCTTAAGAGGTCATATACAGTAGAGCTGTGATCCACCTAATTATCTGCCGGGGCTTCCTCTGTTTTCTATCTGTGGAAGCCTTGTGGGCAGCAAGCTTCATTTATCCAACTTAAGAGGAAGGAAAAGTGAATGTAGAAGGGGCTGTTAAATTAACTCAATGTAAGAGGGTAAACCTTTAGGCCGAGGGGCCAAAATAACTGTTGGGAAGGTTTCCTCTATGTAAATCTTTATTTTCTGTTTTCCTGAAGGTTTATTTCTGCATGAATGAAAACTTTGCTTCTCCTAACTTTATAAACTATTTCCAAGCTTAACAAATACATTTTTTTTTAAATCTATTATTAAGCTGAAATACAATGAACAGTTTTCTGGGGTTTTGTTTGTTTGTTGTGGCCTAAACTGTGGAAATCTTTTGGAGAACCTGTTGAAAAAATATGGGACTGTTTAAAGAGAGCAGTACCAACCATTTAAAACTACAATTTCCATCCTTGTCTTTGAACTAAATAAATTGAAATCAAAACCTGAATAAATATGACAAGACAAAATAGTGATTGTTTGAGGAAGTAAGACTGTGACTTTTGGGCTAATTAACCAACCTGCTTTAAAACTGAGGTATTCCTCTGACATCATTCTCTCCCTTTGGTGCCTCGATTTTTGGCTGACTGACCAGCCCTGTAGCATTCAGAGGACTACGTAGAGGAAGTTCAGCAGACTCCAAGGCTGGCCAGCAGGCCTTTAGAGAAGAGAAGAATATCAGCTCTCTGGGAGAGGACCAGTGCGGGGTTTGGTGAACAGACTGTGAAGTTCTTCTGGAACGATTTGTGGAGTGCGTTGGTAAGCTTAGGTCCGCACCCAGCTGAGAGGCACCCAGAAGGACTCTCTCTCCAGCCTCTCCAAAATACCTCGCAGTTCTGCACAAGCACTGGCCGAGTCCTCCTTGATCAGGACACGGTCCACTAGGTGTCCATACTGCTGATCAATCTGAATGGCAGACTGACGCATCTCCTGGAGGTCTTCATCCTGTTGAAGAAAGGCAATTAAAGAATTTTCTTTTCTTTACAGTGGATGTTGTGGATTGATAGTGTCCTTTGAAAAAATATGCTAATATATATTGATGTTAGTGACCATTTTCTATCTTTTGTGTCACATCAGTTTTGCACTGGCTTAATGCTCCAGGAGTGATATTCTATAGTACATTAGTATAATGAGATTGCTGCGTATTTACAAAGCTTGTGAGTTGATAAGAATTGTTCAATACTTTTGATCTATTAAGCAAAAGAATGCATGATAGGCTCAACTACATTTTAAAAAAATCTTTTAACAGGACGTCTGTTACTGCTTAGAGAAACATGGCTCACTGTAATGCGGCCATGCTCGCCCCCTCCTGGTGAGGTGGCTGCACTGCGACGACGTCTGCTCTCAGGAACACG